ATGGCTTGTGAAGTGAACCAACTGGCTCCATTCCTCGGACCCAACACCACCGACGCCGTAGCCGCCGCCACTTATATCTGTAGCCAATTCTCCGATGTGTCCAACAAGTTAATTGATACCGGCTACGCTATCGACTCGACTTATCTCCTCTTCTCGGCTTACCTTGTTTTTTCCATGCAGCTCGGCTTCGCTATGCTTTGCGCGGGTTCTGTTCGCGCAAAGAATACTATGAACATTATGCTTACTAATGTTCTTGACGCTGCGGCTGGTGGGATCTTTTACTATCTTTTCGGCTTCGCTTTCGCTTGGGGCGGGCCGTCTAACGGCTTCATTGGGCGTCATTTCTTTGGGCTTAAGGAGATCCCTTCTACTTCTTTTGATTACAGTAATTTTCTGTACCAATGGGCTTTTGCTATAGCCGCCGCTGGAATTACTAGCGGCTCTATAGCCGAGAGGACTCAGTTTGCCGCTTATTTGATTTACTCTTCTTTTCTTACCGGCTTTGTTTACCCGGTTGTTTCTCATTGGTTTTGGGCCCCAGATGGGTGGGCCAGCCCGACTAATTCAAATTTGTTATTTGGGTCTGGTGTTATAGACTTTGCTGGGTCGGGTGTAGTTCATATGGTAGGTGGTATAGCCGGGTTTTATGGTGCTTTAATTGAAGGTCCGAGAATCGGACGGTTCGATCATGCGGGTCGGTCCGTTGCGCTCCGTGGGCATAGCGCTTCGCTTGTGGTTCTAGGTACCTTTTTGTTGTGGTTCGGATGGTACGGGTTTAACCCGGGTTCATTTAATAAGATTCTAGTGACTTATGGTACAAGTGGAGGGTATTATGGTCAATGGAGTGCTGTGGGCCGTACCGCGGTGACCACCACCTTAGCGGGTTGCACCGCGGCCCTAACCACGCTCTTTGGTAAGAGGATTCTTTCGGGTCATTGGAACGTGACGGATGTGTGTAACGGACTATTAGGCGGATTTGCAGCAATCACGGCCGGGTGCTCCGTGGTAGAGCCATGGGCCGCGATCATTTGCGGCTTCGTAGCGGCTTTAGTTTTAATCGGTTGTAACAAGTTGGCGGAGATTTTTAAGTATGATGATCCACTTGAAGCAGCACAACTTCATGGTGGTTGTGGTGCATGGGGAATAATTTTCACTGCCTTATTTGCTAAGGGAAGCTATGTGGATCAAGTTTACGGTAAACCGGGTCGACCTCACGGGTTATTCATGGGTGGTGGAGGAAAACTACTCGCGGCACATATAATCCAGATTCTTGTGATATTCGGGTGGGTCACGGCCACAATGGGTCCACTTTTCTATATTCTTCATAAGTTCAAGCTTCTTCGGATCTCTTCGGAGGATGAGATGGCGGGTATGGATCTGACCCGACATGGTGGATTTGCTTACTACCATGATGAAGAACTCAAGCATGGAACACAAATGAGAAAAATTGAACCAACAAGCTCAAGTTAGAAAAAATATCTTTAATTTCCCTATGTTTACTTTGAACTTTCTATTATTTCTTTTAGAAAATTAAATTAGGTGTGTAAGTGAGAAAAGAAAAAGAAAAAAAGGAAGGTTGGGATTTTGACGGTATATGGTGGTTGTCATTGAAGATAATGTGAACATGGACTATGTTTATTATTTCTACATTTGACTATGGATTTCCAATGTACATATATATATTTCCTCTTTATTTAAGTCTTGAACATTATTGTAGAACCGTCAAACTTGACTTCTCTTGTTTAATTGACTTTCTTAGCTATTGTTTGGACATGAATTTGGTTGAAACTTGAAAAAGTATTTTTAAAGTTGTGTTTTGAAAGTTAAAATTGTGTTTGGATATGTATTTTATTGAAAAAAAAATTAAAATTTTGTGAGTCGAAAAAAAAATTTCACCCAAAAACTACCCAAAACCAGTTCTTAAGAACTTGATAATTTTTGAAGTGTTTTCCCCAAAACATAGTTGTATTTCATAAATAAGCAATGTTTTTTAATTTTTTTTTTGATAAAATGAAGCCATAATCTATGGCGAAATGAGAGCTTAAAGTTAGCTATTGGTTCTCATTTGCTAAAGTCTTTGCGAGTAAAATTATCAGTATGTGTGGTACTGGTGAAATAGTTCAGCTTGTTCTAATATTACTGCTATAAAAAAACGTTTATTTATATTCTTGAGAATTTTCAAAACTTAATTAACATCATTGTTTACGAATTTACTTTTTCTTCTTTCATTTTTTGTCGTTTTGGTTTTTCCTCGGTCCTCTTTTTTTGTACTTTCTGATTATTGCGATTTCATCGAAAAGGACTGCAAATGTGTCCAAGTTAAGAGGATGTAAACAAAAAAAAGTGTTTAGTTAAAGCAATCTCACATAAATTAATGTTTTGTCACAGTTCCCTAAGGTTGGTTTGGTATACATGTATTAATTTTGGTATTATTAATTCCTTGTTTGATAGTAACATTTTCCAACCTATATATTGGTTATACACCTTATTCAGTACTATTTTTATACATAGTAAATCATTGCATTAGCAATACCATAATTTTTAATACATAATTAAACATGTATAAAGACAGAATTGCCCTTTCAAAACCTTTAATATATCAAACCAAATAATCAATAAGAAATAATCCTAGCATAACTATCCCAGCATTACCAATCTCAACATTACTAATACGCCTTATTCAGTATTATTCTTAAACTACATTCTACCAAACGACCTTGGGAAAGAAGTTATCCCAGGATTAATTATCCCGAGATTAGTTATCCCGAAATTATTATCCCACCCTCCCATAGGGATAAAAAATACTACAATCCCGGAATAACTACGAATTAGTTATACCGCGATTTTATCCCAACTAAACGTAGGATACACTCATCTCAAATTTAATCTCAAGATAAATTATTCATTATCCCTCGTACCAAACAAGCCCTTAGAGTTTCTAACAATTTGATGAAAAACAGAAGTAGATCACATTTCATACGTAATTGTTTTATTTTAAGTCTCGAAACACATCGTAAGTTAATTGGAAAATTTTGATCAACGGATTTTAAAACAAAAAATATGAGAAAATTCAATAAAATTTAGATGTTGGACCATCCTTTTTAGAATAAAATGAGTTAATAACTACGTATACAGATATATGAATCATTTAGCATCAGAAAAATAGAAACAAAGTAATATTTTTTATTTCAAAATAAGAGCTATGTGAGTATGTTAGCTATTTGACATTAATGTTTCAAATGGTTTTTAGCTCCAAAAAAAAAAAAAAAAAAATGATTCAAATGGTTTTCACCGCAAAATTCGGAAGTAACTCTACCAGTCATCCAACATTGGTATAACTTTAATTTCTTTTTTTATTACATAAAAAATAATTTTTTTTAAAAAAGTAAAAGTATAATTAAGTTTAGTTAGTACCAATATCAATAAACAAAATCAATCCCATAACATTTGACATATTGTTTCTATACAACCCATACTTAAAATTCCTTTTGAAGGAGATATTAAGAGAGCTTTTTTACAAAGGATTATAAAATTTCTTCGTATCTATCTAAATTTTGATGGACTCGAATACTATAATTGTAACCAAAAATAAAATCAAAAGGACTTAAAACGTGAAAAAGATAAGAGGATGAACTAATAAAAGATAGACGCGTACAAAGCAGAGGAAGATTCATGGGAGTATCCTAGTGTAAAGGTGACCAATCACTTTATGTGAATGGAAGAGAATCTTGTGATGCCAAAAAGATTGGAACTTTGAAAGGAAAAAAAAAGGTGCAATGAATATCCTATTGAATTAAATGCAACATTTGTCTATGTGTGGGTGCCCATTCGCATGTAAGAAATAAGATGACAAGAGAAGACACTCTAGTACTGAAAAGACCATTGTCAATTCTTATTATTGTCCAACTCGAAATCTCCCATTAAAGGTGGAGAAATTTTATTCATTCACCAAACCTCTTATAAATGATTCAGTGTTAATTTGTGAGCACCTTAACTAATTTACTGAACAATCTATTTAGCGAAGATTGGCAAGACTATCTCTAAAAGTAATAAAATATATAAAGTCGGCTCGAGAAAAAGCGGAAAAATTAACCTTTTAAAGTCGATAAAAGATCATATAATAATGTGGCGATAAAAGGTGATGGAAAAGGTTAATAAAATGGATAGATCTTTTTTATCCAAGGATCTAACTGGATACCTTGAACAACTTTCATATTAACCTTTCCTTTTCTCCTTTCTCCTTTCTCCTTTCCCTTAGTCCCGGGATCAACCGAGTTTCCTCCATTTTGACTAGTTGGGGAACAGAGGTACCTTAGAGCGATGTATAGGCTGTAATATTTATGGAAGCAAGGATAGAGCTTAAAATGTTGGCTAAGGTTGTGTTCTTCCAAGGGGACGAGGTCGGCTTGGTGATCGAGGGCTTACATGGACGCAACATTCCGACCACGAACTTGGACATCACTTCAATATTATTCTACTTTTTTAAGGCTAGAGTAAAAATGTACATGCGAACGAATTCATAGTAAATAAATGTGATGGTAAAACATAAAAGAAAAAAGAAAAAAAGAAATATATTTTCACTTTTATTTGTCCACTATACTAAATCAAGAGAAGAATAATTTTTCTTTATTCTGTTTTACTTAAGAGCCTGTTTGGAAAGCCACCTAGGAATTGGATTTGGGTGTAATTGAGTGTAATTACACAGTTTGGCATGTTTGTTTGGCCAAGTAATTACTTGTAATTGGAGGGGTGTAATTACACTCTCAAATTCTTAAGGGGGAGGTTAGAATTGGTCGTAATTACACAGTGTAATTACAAGGTTGCTTTTTAGTTTATTTCCCTTTTATTTTTATTTTTATTTTTCTTTCTTTATAACTTTTTATTTCTATTTTTTAATTTTATTTTTACTTTTTAATTGTTTTTAAAATTTTAAAATATATTTTCTTTGTACATTATTTATATTTTATTTCTCTACCTTTACTTCTAGTGATTCCATGAAATTGCTTATATTTTATTTTTTATTTATTTTATTATTCTATTTTTTGAAATTACACCTCCTAATATTAGAAATAACGAGTCATAACAAACTTGGTATATAATGAGTGATGCAATTAAAGTGGAATTTCGTTGTTGAATGTGGTTATAAACTCATTATGTTTCCTAATCTTAAGTTTTAAGTTTATCATTTATACTTATAAAAATTTATAGGCATTATTTATTATATTAACTTTTAAGTTTTGATAATTACTTCATTTAAATTTTATCTAACTGTGTAATTACACTTGTGCAACCAAACAGTAAACTAGTAATTACAGTGTAATTACACTATGACAAACAAACATGTCGTCGTAATTACACAACTGTGTAATTACTAGGCTGTGTAATTACTACCCTACTAATTACACCAATTCCAATTACCTGGTGGCTTTCCAAACAGACCCTAACTACTCATTTCCCAAATCATTTCTCAAGACTTTTGGAAAATGCTATCATTGTTATGGATAAAATTATAAAATACATACTTCATTTATTTTTTCTTAAAGGGAGCGTAAAGTCAAAAGTGAACAGAGAAAGTATCTGAGATTTTCAATTTATTACTCATATACCTCATCACTTAACCATCTTCTTAGACACTTGGCATTAGGCTCTATTCGATTTTAAAACGGTTTTGGAGAAGTGTTTATTTCTTCTAAAGGAACTTACTTTAATTAAACACTTTTCATGAAATCAAGTTATTGGGGGTTACACTCTACAAAAAGAGAAACCAAGTTATACTCAAATTCTAAATTCAAATGAATAAGTTCCTAAAAACGTTCAGCCACTTTAGTCTTGTATTTCTGATCCTATGACTCATTAGTTTAATCTTTTGTCTTTTGTTCCCTCCATTTTTGGCGATGGCACTTGTTATTATTACAAGCAACTTAACTGCTAATTCCTGAATGATGCAGGTTTAAAACATATCATAATACATTTTAATTTGACACTTTTTCTGAATGAGTTTTAAAATGATATATCCTTCTCTTGGAGGAAAAGAAAAGTACTCTTATCCACCATGACAATACGAATTGACCGCTAAAAGTTTTTTTTAGTTACACTTACTTAATATAACGTTCTAACACGATGATAATTTTGCGGTATTGAACAATAAAATGAAAAAAATACTTAGGAGAAAGAGGAGTCTCATACACACAATTCATGAGGGAATTTGTAGCCGACTGGATAGGACTTTTGGTAATCATGAATGGATGATGGAATGGGGTCATATTGTGATGGAATATGATGTGCCTCTAATCTCAGATCATAATCCAATGGTGCTTGCTCTACAGGCAAATCAGAGGGACATCAAAGTTCCATTCAGGTTCTTCAACATTTGGACAGACCATGATAAGTTTCAGGATATAGTGAAGCAAGTATGGCAACAAAAGTTCTCAAACTGAAAGATGAAAGATGTATGGATGAAATTGAAGGCACTAAAACCATTATTCAAGCAATTGAATAATGAGGAATTCGGAAACATTACACAGAGAGTAGACAAAGCAAGAAATGAATTAGTGATGATCCAGAAACAACTGACATCAGTATGGTCAGATGATTTAGTAGAACAGGAAAGGGCTATAATGCAGAACCTAGAAAAGTGGTTCATGATAGAGGAGAACATCATGAAGCAGAAATCAAGAGCCAAATGGATCCAATTAGGGAATTCAAATACAAAGTACTTC